TATATATACTAGAACAATTAATGCTATATTGGTGGGTGAATTCCTTTTGTGCCACTAAAAGTTTGCCCAAATCATCACGTGGCATTCCCTCTTTGAATGACATGTGGGTCCAAGGTCCAGATGTCGGTAAGACATCAATGACAAATACTCCAAGGTCCAAGGTCCAGAAGTAGGAGACATTGTAAACTTTTCAATGGAAAATTTTAATACAATTAATAAGTATTCAAAACATGGAAACCTGACTTTTAATGTAGCTTAATTCTGTCATGTACGTTAACTGCCAAAGAAAAGAAAGACGGCCAAATTAATATTGTATAATGTCAGCCATAAACTTAATTTTGTACACATCCATTTTAATTTGTGGATCAGATTGTAATGGAACACATATTTCTTTCCTGATGCAGGGGGTGGATCAAGGCCTGGGCTCACCGGCGTATCACACCACTACAATGCCTTGTATTTCTAGTGTTTAAAGGTGTCTATAATATATTTATTCGCACACGTGTGCCAAGGCTCTAGCAGCCTCATCATTAGGCATATTTTCTCATATTTGCAAATGAAAATCAATTTGTGAATAAAACTTTTATATATGTGTTCTTAGCGATCTAAAAGCAAAAGCTGAAAAATAAACTTCGATGAAAAAAACCCAAAATCAGCTCCAAATTTAACGTTGAAAATTCAAATTTTTGTTGATAAGCATATGAATATGCCAAACAATGAGGCCCTATAATTATTTTTTTTCGCCACTATCCTAATGGGAGATACCTCAGAGTTTTATGCACATCCTACCTTACCGAGTCGATCCAAAACATTTTTTTTCGCCACTATCCTAATGGGAGATACCTCACGGTTTTATATACATCCTACCTGACCAAGTTGATCCAAAACAGTGAGACTCGGATTTATTGGATTTGAGTCATTTTAGTTTTGTTGTACAAAATATAAAACTATACTCTAACTAGGTGTATAACATTTATGAAATCTAACATGTAGGATCAACTACATAGACCAATGCCATGTCGGTCCACGCCATTCCCACTCTATCATGCTTCAAAGTTGCATGTAATTCCTGATGTGAGGTGTGAGGTGTGTCCGTGTGTGTGGAGCATGCACGCAGATGACGCGTGCATGCTCGATCGTGCATTGCAGATTGCAGAATTCAGATCTAATTAAGTGACGCATGCAGTGATCGATGCAAAAAAATATTTTCTTTATTTAATATTATATAAGTTGTTTTGATTTATTTTTCAAGTTATTTATTTTAAAGTTAGATCAAGTTTATGAAAAAAATATAGCAACAATATTTAGTACTAAATTAGTTTTATTAAAGCTAATAAAATAAAAAAATATATTTTGTAAATTTAGTTAAAGCTAAAGTAGTTTGATTTCAAAGAAAATTCAGAATTACTTTAATATGAAAAGGGATAGTAGAAGGTAAGATGGAGAGGGAGATAGGCGATCGCCGGCGACGCCGATGGAATTGAAGAGAGCAGGTACGTACCTGGATCTTGCGGCGCTGGGTCTCGGCCTGCGAGCGCTTGTCGAGGTCGGGTACCATCCGGAAGCGGCGGCGGCGGTTCTTGACGAGCGTGCCGACGGCATCCCGCCACCGGCGCTGCGCCTCCTCCGACGGGTTCTTCGCCGGCACCTCGAAGCTCTTCAAGAACTCCATCGACTTCTTCCGGATGAACGACATGATGATAGCTAGATCGATCGATATTTCAAAAACTCTCTTCTTCGATTAATTGATCTCCCTTTTACCTTTTTCTCGATGTGTCCTCGATCGATCGCTTCTATGTATCTACGTGCTAATCACTAGCAATCTGGGATTAGATTAGGCTATACTGTCTCTCCCCTCCATGACGACCATGATGATTTTTTCCTAGTGATGGCCCTCTTCTTCTGTGAATGAATGAACCGCCCGCCCTTTGCTTGTTTTGGTTTTTGGTAATCTCGTTGCGGCGCATGTCACGCGTGTAGACCCGATTAACCCGGCGATTAGTTGGACAGGATCAAAACTCTAAACTTGCTTTGTTAACTCAAAATTACTGCTGCTCTCTATAGCCCGATCCGTGACAATCTCTACGGCCCAAACATATCCCGGGTAAACATAGCAAAGCCAACGCGCTACCAAATTTAGATTGCTTTTGTTTCTTTTCTCTTTTTTTTTAGCACAACAATATGTTTTTTTTGAAAAAAAAGAAAAATTCAATGCAAGACCCATGGTAAAAAATTGACATAAAAGGCAGTGCACAAGATTTGAAGTCTTTGTACTATAAACAATAATTATACTCTGGTGGCAAAATTTGATAGACAAAAAAAATTTGACACTTGTTTGTGCCTTGATCCTAAATTAGTCTGTTTTTTTTCTAGTGCAACAGACGGAGCTGGGGACAAATAGTTCTACGATAGTACAATTATGTATAGTTTGAATTCCTGGCAGAAAAATATATATATATTAATGGTTGTAAAAGTCTAACGCTGACTTTGAGAACGATACTAGTAATATACTCCCTCCGTCCCAAAAAACCTCATGAATCCCCTTTGTCCAGGTTGAGTTTTTTTTGGGACGGAGGGAGTATGTTTTTGGTCACCATGATAATGAGGTTGTCATTTGAGAAAGAACTTCAGACTTTTAGAATGAGGCTTCATGCATGCTTGAACATCTTCATGCTTAGCCAATGCAAATAGACAGCCACGATTATCACTGGGAGTGTCAACGGTATGAGCAGGCAGTAATACCTGTAAATATAAGCAGAAAACTAATTTAGGTGATTCCGGTGCAACCGTACATCAATGCCCTATGCAGTAAAAGAACATATCTATGAAAACAGTGAATGATGCTGAACATCTGTTCTGTCCTTGTTTTTACTTACCTATCGTTTTGGATTGCTGACAGAAACCGGTTTTCATATGGTGGAAGCATCTTGGTCAAAACCGCAGCATAGAAGAAACCCACAAATAATATGATGCCAAATGCGATGAATGCCGACCCAATCAGCTGGTCCCTATGCATCTTTAGATCAACCTGTTTGACCTTTGGTGTGCAATCTCCCGCTCCTAAATAGATGCAGGCAATGGTGAATCAAGAAACTAAAAATATCAAGTCAGGTACTAAATGAAGTTTGAGGAATCGTAAGCAGGATTTACAAGTATGCCGATAGCCAAAAAAGAAAGAACATGACCATAGTGTAAAAGAAAAGGAAGGTGCTTTAATGAAGTGTGTTGAATTTCACTGGGTGTCTAAAATGTTTACTCACTGAATGAATCACCGCAATATCAATTTTTTACAGTTCTTATACAGGAGATCCAAGTGCCACCATAAGGACTGTTTTGACTTCCTACGGAAAATTACATAACCTCTGATGATAAAAATATTTCTCTAGGTGACACTCAAATTCTACCTGAAGATAATTTGGTCAGAACAGGCTGGAAAGTGGATAAATGCCATTGTTGTGGTGTAGCACTACTCATGTCCCCTTGGCAAAGTTTACTAGGAACATATGTAAGCTGTTCATCTTGCTTGAACATGTATTAATCGTAGTAAACCAGTGATAGTTGGCATATCTGCAATCTGTTGGTCAAATATGGAAGGCACAAAATTGGCCGTTTTGAACACAAGCTTCATGCCCACCCAGTTCCGGTGGACTTCTTATATTCACCATCGGTTAATCTATTGAGCTCAAAAAAAATATGCAGTGGGGACGTGCAGGAGAAAAATGTGAGAAGTTTACATGATCAGTTTCAGCATCAGCTTCAGTTAGGAACTGCAAAATGTTACTAAGAGTTTTAGAAGAAAAAAAAGAAGAGTAAAATTAAATGTTGTGGATTTTGCACGATCAGTTTCAGCATTGCCTTTTCAGATCAGAGCATAATCTTTTCAGTTCAGAGCAGCACAAATGTGCCAGATGTTCAACAGAGGCAAGACTGCAGAAGTGCAGGCCGCGGCTACTTCTCTGAGGCATTGCGTCGAACACTTTGCGCTCGTAAGGTTGGAGCAACAAGCAGCAACTCAGTCACGCCCATCACGCGTCGTCGCCCAACCGGGAACGAGAGAGAAGAGCCTAATTCCGCGGAGAAAACCTCGACAAGGGGAGGGAGAGAAAGAAGATAAGAGATCGAGCGGCCGGCGGGCGGCCATACGCGCCTACCTGGTATCCGTCAAACTGTTGGGCGGCGCGTGCAATCGTTGTGGCGTTCTCCCCGCCTTGCGAGCTTGTCGCGTGTGGTGCGCGCGCGGTGCACCGGCACGCCGCCGCCTTGCCTCGGTCTTATCGCGTGTGGCGCGCCGCCGCCTCCGCCGCCGGTGCCTAGGCGGCGCACCAGCCCAAGTGCCCAACTATGGCAAGAAGATGAAGGAAGATACAGGACGGGACGGCCCGTTTGTGAGTTCGATGACTTGCTGCGAATTGAGTTCTCTGTGCAGTACTGATGGTTTCTTCATATCGCTACAGCCCTAACCTCTCCCTCATAAAAAATTCAATTCCAACTATTTACCTTAACACACACTTGAAACCTCGCTGTCTCATAAATAATCCAATCCAATTCTAATTATTTTTACCACTTGAAATCTCACCGTCTCATTAATAATCCAATCCAATTCTAACTATTTATTTTTAGTTGAACACATGCGTGAAACCTCTCCATAAATAGTCCAATCCAATTCTAACTATTTTTACTTGAACACATCCGTGAAACCTCTCCTTATAAAAAATCAAATAGCTATTTACTTGAACAAATGCTTGAACTTCCTATAAAAAAATCAAATAGCTATTTACTTGAACAAATGCTTGAACTTCCTATAAAAAAATCAAATAGCTATTTACCTGAGCACATGCTATGCTAGCATGTACACATATGTAGTTAGGATTAGTTTTTTTTTTTACATAGTAGTACATATACCTAATTTGAGCTGTTACAAAATTCTACGACGCGCGAGTGGGCAGATCACAAGTGTTGCACAGAATTAAGCCAAATGTCAGTCCCACAACACTCTTGGATGCAAAAAAACATACTCATTCACATTCAACAGTTTTTCGATAATAGAAGCCATGGAGCATGCAGGCATGTGTAGCGAGACCAGTGAATGAAAAAGGCATATTAAATAGCAAACAGTCGATCTTATCAAAGGATGATATAGGCCTTGAAGTTTCGTAACACTACCTACCGCTCTCAAGATAGCATAACCAAGGAGGAGGGTTCATCCTATCAATGCGCCCTCAACATTAAAATTTAACCCACAAGTTCCATCCCCACCACAACGTTTCGTGATTCCACTAGTTCGTCAGCTCCATGATGGCAGTGACAATGTCACCGTTAGCAGCCTTCAGCGCCTTCACCGCCCTCGATCTCGACACGGTGGCCTGTGTCATCACCAGTTCAATGTCCTTCGGCTCGACGCCAGACTCATCGACCTCCTCGTCATCCTGAGCTGCTGCAGAAGGCTCGGCCTTTGAGATGACGTTACTCAGGTCAGGTGCCTTGAACTGCTCTGCAGCTTGAGTCTGCAGCTGCGAGCTCAGATCCTCGATCTTCGCCTCACCGAAGATGACGTAGGTGTCTGAGTTTGGGCTCTTGAAGACATCTGGTTTAGAGATGACGAACAGAATCTGGTAGTGCAGGGAAAAGTTAAGCAAAATGCAATGGTATATAACAATTCTGTGAGCCTACAAGAAACAATGGCATAACAGTGATTAAGCAGCTCACGTTCTTGCTCTTTTTGATAGTGACACGGCTCACACCAGTGATGGTCTTCATGCCAAGTTTCTGCATGGCTTTCCTGCTCTTTTTCTCGCTCCTACTCTGCTTAGACCTTCCACTAGCATCACCTCCTGCTCCTGCAAAGCATAAAGGAAAGCCATCAGCATTTAGCAAACACTGGACAGTAAGTAGCAAACACTGGACAGTAAGTCTACAATACCACATAGAAGTATAGTTTTTCTGAAGCCTTTGACTGTTTTCGAGTAACCGTGAAACAGAAATTGGGTTCTAATGATAACAGTTCTTGGTTGGGGATTTATAATTGTAAATTTGAACTGTGAACTATATATCCTCTTAGATTGGCCTGACATCAAAGGCACAAATACTAAACTCCTAGTGAAACAAATATGGTATCACTTATGATATTATATACAATACATCTAGCAAGCTCCACCAAGATTATCAGTATATTCTTAACCAAGATCTGTTCAAGCATTCATCCTGTACCAATAAGGCCCTGTTTGGAAAGTGGGAGATGGCCATGGTAATTGAAATTCTTATGTATCAAAACAAGACCTAACGGTGCTATCACAGTATAGCATGTGAATAAATTTTTAATGCAGATGGCTCACACTGACAATTCAGGGAAGCATGAATAAGTTTAAAAGAACAAGAACATAACATGACAAAAGAAGAATTAAAACAACAAAAGTCATAGTTCTAGTATGGAAAGAATAGAATATTTGCAAAATGGAACTGAAGGTAGCAAATCAGTTAACTACAAAAAAAACTATTTTGCGCTCCATAAATATCCATCGCTTCAATAAATGAATTATAGATTAAAGAAATAGAGAGATGTTTCATGCGACAACCAGAGAATGGGCAGCCACCTGATATATCTATCCTTTATATTACAATAACTAAAATGGATTCCAACACACCTTCTACATCATCATCTTTGTCATCCTCGTCATCATCATCATCCTCGTCATCATCGTCATCCTCAAGGATAGGCTCATCTCCCTGAAAGCATGCAAAATGACATTTTCTTTAACTGACTGTCAAGTAACAAACATGCCCTGCAAAGCAGGGCCATAACCCACAACAGACCAAGCCACATGCAGAATAAAATAGTGAGTATTCACGCCAGTGTATGCTATTTCCAAATTGAAAATAAGCATGCTATGCATAAAAGGAAGGACTTTTCTCAAGAGTAAAAGAGAAGGGCTTGTACCTTTGTGCAGTAGGAAAACAAAGAATCCTAGAGTAACAATCTAATTAACAAATGAGCCCAAGTTACTAATGTAACAATCACTATAGTTAAACAGCAGTAATCTAGCTTCAGGGTGCTAAACAATTATAACGCTTTTAATCTAGCTTCAGCATGTTCATAATCAATTTAGAACTTGTAATCCTTAATACAGGAGTACCATGAAAGCAGAAGTACCGATCTCTCTTCATAGGTGAATCGCCAAACAACATGGAGCACATAACTACTACTAGCACGCAAGAGGCCTATAGACTTACAGCAACGAGAATTCCAAGAAAGGAAAATAACTCCTGATTGCAGAGGTCAACAGAGTTCATCAACGAGAATCCCCATAAAGTAAAAAAAGAACTCCTGATCGCAGAGGACAATAGGATCCCCAGAAATCCACACTCCAACAACCACTCAGTTCGCCACCCAAATCTCGCACCTAAAAGCCGCGCAACCTCAGCAGCAAACGAGATCCGGCAGTTTACCACTACGATCTAACCAAACCCACCGATCTAAAGTCGCACAAATCCTAAAAGATCGTATCCTTCTTGAACAGACTTCTATCACACAAGAAGAGGGCAACAGCGGCGGGGGGAGGGAAGCTGGGAGTGGACGGATCACCTCGATCTTTTGCTCCTCGAGGTGCTTGCGGAGCAGCTCCTCCTGCGTCTCGGCGGCCGTCATGGTGGCGGAGAGCGAGCGGAAAAACCCTAGAGTTCGAGGAGGAGGGGAAAGTAAACCCTAGGGATCAGAGAGCAACAGCGACGGCGGAGCGGAGTAGAGGAGAGGAGGCGCTGCGTTTTATTGACTCGGTGGAGATCTTACTGTTGAAATGGGCTGGGCCGTCTATGTAAGGCCCATTTATTTGCTATTACTACGGAATTTACTGTGTTTTTCCCCCCCTACTTTTTCTTGAAGTGTAGGTAGAAAAGATATTGTTTTCGACTTTATGTAAGCTACCTCACATTCGCATTATTTTCTATAGAAATCTCAGGGGGAAAAGGAAGCCGTTCAGTAAGGACCAACAAAATGGAAATATGCTAAAAGAAATTGCAGGATTCTTAGGTATGAGATGTGAAGGGGGCGTGGCTACGTTGAAACTGCCACGTGCGCATGACGATGGCCCATTTTGCAAATTATTAATTATTATAATTATTCATAATCAATAATTATAATAGTTTGTTAAGTATGTTACTGAAATGTATAAGTGACACTCGATATTTTTTTAAAGACCCCTTTGAAATACATTATAGGAAACACATAGGAATAATACACATACAGAAATTAATGTTGCATGTTTTTCTAATCTTGTAGGAATAGAAAATATAGGAAAGATGAAGAGGAGCCTCTAATAGCATCACAGGAAATTTTCAAGAAGTTAGACCTCTTGCTTATTTTTCATATGAAATTGAACCATATAAATGTAATCCTATGAGAAGATCCTACCATTTTCTATAAATCAAATAGTTTTATAGGAAATTGAATCCTTCAAAATTCAAAATCCATTTGATATTTCTCAATTACAAAGGGGCTTAGATTCCGAAAATTGTCAAATAGAAACGTGGCACGAGTGGATCGGTGGATAAAATTGTTAGCCAAATGGCAGTATGTGTGCGGTAGCAACAGTTCCATTGAAGTCCTAGGGTCCGTTTTTGGGAGCTTTACGACAGCTGCATCTTCTCCCAAACAAAAGCTCATTCTAAAAAGTATAGTTTTTTTTTTGAAATTCTAAGAATATGGGGTTATAGAATCCGGTAAAATGAGTTTCATATTTTTCCAAATTCTCGTAAGCTAGCTACGAAATAGATGCTTCTCGAAATTTTAAGCTTCCCAAACAATACCTACACAATACCTAGGAGGCTCTACAAATATGTTCTGCCCTTTAGACCCCATTCAAATTGTTGAAACATTATTTGAGGGCACATTCTCCGTAACTTACTCCCTCTATCATATAAAAAAATAAATTTAAGATCGGATATGACACATCATAATACTACGAATTATGACAATCGTATGTCAACTAGAATGTGTTACTAGGTTGTCTTTTTATGGAACTAAGGTAGTGTGTACTACTATAGATTATCGTAGACATGGTGTCCAAACTTACAATGGGAAAGTTTTCCTCATCGTTGTTTTAAACAACCTTTTAAAACAAGTTTCTCATTTTTTTAATATTTAATTTATTCGTCCATGCTTCGAATAAATTGTCATAAACACTGTTTCATCTGTCACCTAACCCTGATTAGAGCAAGTATAATAGTAGGCTATAGCCGGCTAAATGCTGAGTTGGAGAAAAGAAGATAGTAGAGAGAGGAGAAGCGGGCTGTAAACTTACAGCCGACTTGGACACAAGAACCAAGAAATTCTGTTAGAGAGACAAGTAGGCTCTATGTTAATTGTGAAGAGTTAACTATTATATGGGTAGGCTGAGAGAAGGCTATAAAGAAACTTATAGCCAGTAGGTCGGCTGTATTATTACCCCGCTCTTAGCAGGAGTACTACGAGCTGAAAACGGCACAGGAATTTAATAAAAACAGCGAGTACAACCCGACAGTGCAATGAATGAAAAGATAATAACTAAGCATAATAATAACACTCTAAACTCATCAGCTATTCAGCTGCAGTACCTCAACGTACAGCAACTGTACATTCAGAACCGTATGGTGTGTTTAGTTAACGCCAAAATTAAAAGTCTGGTTGAAATTGAAACGATGTGATAGAAAAATTAAAAGTTTACGTGTGTAGAAAAGTTTTGATGTGATAAAAAAGTTAGAAGTTTGAAGAAACAATTTACGACTAAACAAGGCCTTAAATCAGTCATCAAGCGTGACTACAAAATGTAGGTTAACACCGTACGTCCCCCCCCCCCCCCCCCCACAAAAAAAATAAAATTAGCTCATCCTTCCAAAATCCGTGAAAAAAAGATGCCGACGTTTCATCACCCAGGAGTTGTTCGTTCCTCTGTCTGTCTATCTGATCAAGAACTTCTAGAGGGAGAGAGACAGAGATGCAAACGCGAGGAGAAGGACGACGCGTGAGGCAAGCGGCGGGTAGGTGCATGGTCCTTGTAGCCGGAGGACGGCGACGGAGATGGAGTCCAAGTGGCGTCTCCTCTCCTCCATCCCCGACAGCGAGTGGCTAACCCACCCTCACCGTCACCTGGCTCTCCTCGCCGCCGCCGCGGCCGCCGACGATGACCTCGACCAACCCCACCCAACGCCGCTTCCATGTGGGCCCCGTCCCCCACGCGGCGCCGCCGCCGCCGCGGCGCTTCGGTTTTGAACGCGGCCGCTGATAGCGTCGGCGACGGCGAGTTCGTGCTCTCTCGTTTACGTGGGCCCACGCGGTCAGTGACAGCGGGTTCTCGTAAGGTGAGTCCATGTGCACCGGGTCCATGAGCCAGCGACTAGCGAGAGAGGTTCAACACTTCGTAATTTACGGGGAAAAGCACGTGGACCGACTCGAGGACGCACGTACGGATCTCTCCGTGCACCTGGTCCGCATGGACCCGAGGCTGTTTTCTTTGCTATGAGTTGGGAACTAAAAGTGATTCATGAAAAAAATAAACGGAGCGGCAAGATTATCATACGATTAATTAAGGAATTTTGACGCTGTCACATCCTAGTATTATAACTCTGGACAGAGATATGTCTAGATTCATTGTACTATAATATGTTACATCTAGTTCTAGATTTGTTTTTTTCGAAACGGAGGGAGTATGGAGTATTAAATATAGAAAAAAAAATCCAATTATACAGTTCGCCAGGAAATTACGAGACAAATTTTTTAAACCTAATTGCGCCATAATTTGACAATGCGGTGCTGCAACTGCAATAAACATTTGCTAATGACGGATTAATTAGATTTAATAAATTTATCTCGTAGATTCCGTCAGTTTACTAGCGGAATTTATAATTTGTTTTATTACTAGACTACGTTTAATACTTTAATTGTGTGTCTGTGTATTCGATGTGACATGCGGGGACAAATTTTTTTACTAACTAAAGAGGCCCTAAGTATTAGTAAAAAACATAAATAAATAAACTAATATGACTTTTTAAAGTGATTTTTCTATATAATTTTTTATAATACTGTGAGTTGGGAAAAAGTGTACGTAGAAAACGATAGAGAGTGGAGGTTGGCAAGCCGGAAGCACCATAAACGAACTCGTCTTGATCAGGTGCAGTGGACCGTGCGCAGGGGAGGCTCTCTCGCTCTTCCGCGAGAAAGCCAGAGGGGATCGGAATAGGGGTGTGGGGCCCGGGCCCACGTCACGGGTCTCGCCTCCTGGTCCGGAGGTCGCTCGCCGATCCATCCGCCGCTGGCTGCACCCAAAAACCGGGATCTCCTGTGGCTGTTCGCCTGTGGGGACTTGTTGTGGCGAGGAGGCATATCGCCTTCGCCGTCCCTCCGACATTCTCCCGTTTGTTCACTGTTTGGTTGTTGATTGTTGGATAAGCACTCGCCCTCTCACAGCACTGGAGAGAACCGGAGAGAAGGCCGGGAATGATCGAGATGGGGAACAAAAGGATCACATTCTCTAATGTGATGTTTCACCTTACCTTTTCTTTTTCGCGTTCATTGATGATGCATTGATAGTTCGTAGCTAGATTTATATTGAAATGGTTAGCTGATTATATATTTATAGGCAAGAAATTAGTATCGTGTTGTTTCGTACGAAGAAACTATTTATATCTGAAGCGTATAAATTTTTATATATCCTGGAGCCAGAATTGAATGTTGTACAAGTAAAAATAAACTTGAGATCAGATCAATATGTTTCAACTATATGACTTAAATTAGAAGGGTGCTTCAAATATACTCTACAAAACTCCATCCTATGTTGTCTAAAATATATACTCTCTTCATTTCAGTAAATGTTTTTTTTCCATTCACATATATCAATACAAAACTCAAAAGACTATAATAGTTCCACTTTATCAAATCACAATGTAATTATTCCTCTCTTTAATTACTTGCAATACATTTATATCGTATTTTCACAAATTCCGATACCATAATTACTAAAAAAAATTAATTTGAGACAAATAGGAGGGGTTAAAAATGAACTTATTATGCGACGGAGAAAGTATATATGTTTTATGCTTCTTCGTATGAAAATACAATGTTATGCTTGTTATACAGTGTATTTGTGTTGTTTTTTAATTGTATTTGTTCGTCCCTCTACTTCAAAATAACTCCAACTAAAGTTACTATTTATCTGCTGGTCAAAAAATAAATAAACATTATCATTTTTCTAGATGTTCAAAAATAAACCATCAAATCATACACTCTTAAAATTTTAAGAATGTTAAAATCTCTGGACTTGAAAAGAAACGAAGAAGAGTGAGGTGCATGAGCGGTCCCTAAACTCGTGCGAGCATGTCATCTAGATCCCTAAACTATCAAAATGTATTTTCGGGTCCCAAACTTGCCTTGAGGTGTCATCTAGGTCCAAACGAGCTCTAACCCGCTCCATGCGCTGATGTGGCATGCCACGATAGCACCTACGTGTTAGTCGAACCCACGTGTCAGTCACATATAAAAAATAAAAAAAACATATTTTATCCTCTCTACCTTAGAATTTTTATCTTTTTATTACCTAAGATGAGAAAATATGGTTTTTAATTTTATTTTTTATATATGCTTGACATGCGGATTTCACTGACATGTAGGTGCCTCCGTAGCAATGCCACGTCAGCATATGGAGCGGGTTTGAATCCATTAGGACCTACTCCCTCCGTTTCATAATGTAAGTCATTCTAGCATTTTTCACATTCATACTGATGCTAATGAATCTCGACATATGTATCTATCTAGATTCATTAACATCAATATGAATGTGGAAAATGCTAGAATGACTTATATTGTGAAACGGAGGAAGTATATGACACACATGACAAGTTTAAGGACTTAAAAATACATCTTAAGAATTCAAGGACTTAGATAACACACATACACAAGTTTAAGGACTGCTATGTACTTAAAAAAAACTACACCTTCTAGGTAGCTACCACTCAAACACTCACAAGGTTCACTGGCCATAGAAGATCCAACCCCTACTTTGCCCCCTTCCAAATTCAAAATCTTCAAACCAATCCTCACCAAAAACCCAGATAAAACAAACCAATCACAACACCATGAAAAAGGAAAAAGAGAAAGAAAAAGCTAAACCTACAAATTTATTCCACACCAACACAACCAGAAAGAAATTAACGACCTTAATTTAATAAACCGAGCCAACAATAAGTGAGCTTTACCCACTTAACTCTAGTCTAGTCCACTACTACTACTACTACTCGGCGTGGTCAGGTCAGGTCAGGTCACTCCAACCGCAGCGCTGCTCGTCGTCTTCCTCCCTTCCCTTCCAAAATTCCACTCCAATTCATTTCACGTTTCACCTTCGGCTCGGTGCGGTGCGGTTTACCTCTCACTTTCTCTCACCTTCCCTCGCCCACCTCAATCTCCTCCTCCTTAAGCAACGACGCCGCAGCAGCGGAGGACCACCACCACCACCACCCAGCCCTAGCTCCACCAACCGGATCGCCCCCCCCCCCCCCAGCAATGGCGTCCAAGGAGGCGGAGGCGGCGGCTGCCTGGCGCCGGGATGCGTCGTGGTGAGATCGCGCCGCATGGGGAAGGAGGCCGTCGGCGAGGGGCAGCACCAGCAGCAGCGCCCGCCGGATGGGGCAGGGGGCGGAGGAGGCGGAAGAGGAGGAAGAGGAGGAGGAGGAGGAAGGGGAGGTAGCGGGCGACTGGGGTGGTGGTGGTGCTGCTGCTGCGGTGTCGGTGGGGTGGTGCGGCTGAAATGCGTGGCGGCGCTCGTGCTCGGCGTCGCCGTGCTGCTGTCGGCGGTGTTCTGGCTCCCGCCGTTCGCGCGGCGCGGGAGGGGATCGGAGGGCCCGGATCCGGGCGCCGGCTTCGATGGTGAGAGCCCCGCATTGCCGAGATCTCTCGCCTTGCTCGCTTTTGATTCCGTTTCGTTTCCGTTGCGTCTGGTTGCAATGCCCCCCCGACGAGCGGAATCTGCGGTTCGATTTCTGATTAGCTCGTGGCGGATTCATGAGTAGGCAGTGTTTCTGAGGTTTGGATCTGGATGTACGGAAATTTGAACTGACTGTGGCGACCCTGGTCAATGCGATTTATGTTTCGTTCGATTTGGATGCGAGACGGATTAATTTAGCCTTAGCGTAGCCATTCTATCAGAGGATACCATGCAAATTTCCTCGCGTATAGCTGTTTTCTGCTAGATTTGATGTCGGTATTTGATCTGTATTGCGTTAGCCATGTGTCGGTGCTTGTTTTGCACAATGAGTAAGTTAGAATTTAATGCTAAAAGTGGCAACTCCGTCACTCTCAGCTTGTGGTTCCATACAATTACCGAATTTGGTGAGCTGTGACCCAACTATTTTGTGAGAATTGCACATCTGTGTAGGAGGTTCTGTCACTGATATTTGTGTTGTTGGTTCCCATTTCCCTTTTTGCATTTTTCAAAGGTTTGCAATGGCTTTATTGAAATGCTGAAGTTGAACCGTAGTAAATTACTAGCCAATAATTCAGGTTGCAGTCCATTCCATATTTATTACTTCCTCCGTTTCATATTATAAGACTTTCTAGCATTGCCCACATTCATATAGATGTTATATGCCTAGATTCATTAACATCTATATGAATGTGGGCAATGCTAGAAAGTCTTATAACCTGAAACGGAGGTAGTAATTGTCTAATGTGGAAAAGCCTGTTTGGCATTTACTGTTTACTGAAATTGCACTTTTGGAATGGTTTGCAGAACTTTTAATCTTTATTTCGGTCATTCTGCAGTACAAATATAATGTTCTTTATTCTGTTGTGTAGAAGTACTGGAAGTCTAGAATTGCACAATACATGTCAATCCTTCTAAGCACTTTATTTTAAGACGCGTGTCTTACGAACCGATATTTTTTTCTTCCAGCTGATATAGTGGCAAGCTTTAGGCTGCACAAGATGGTTCCTGAGCTGAATGGAAATGCATCAAAGCTTGAATTGGACATTTATGAGGAAATCGGCATTCCTAACTCCACTGTATGGCCTGCAGACATCTTTTATTTATACATTTCTTTCATCACGTCACAATCTGATGTTTGAATACTTATACAGGTGGTAGTAAATTCACTACAATTAGTTGGATCAAACTGGACAAATGTTATCTTCAGCATTGTGCCTTATCCAAAGAATTTGACTTTATCGTCAACAGGGCTGAGCATTCTTAGGTCTTATTTTATGTCCTTTGTCGTGCGGCAGTCGACACTCCAGTTAACCGAGTCCTTATTTGGAAATTCATCGTCCTTTGAAGTGCTTAAATTCCCAGGAGGAATTACAATCATTCCGCCACAAACTGCTTTCCTTCCTCAGAAACCTCATGCAACTTTTAACTTCACTCTTAATTTCCCAATCTACAAAGTGCAAGACAGAATCGATGAGCTAAAGGATCAAATGAAAACTGGGTTACTGCTCAATTCCTATGAGGTTAGTGGTACCTTCTGGCTTAACTCATTTTATATTACCTTCATTGTAGTTATTAAGTTATATGGTAATGTGATTATACTAATGAATTCTGTTCATTTTATGTCGCCTCCTTTGAAGTTTCCTTCATTTTTAAATATGTTAGTTTTAGATATTTGTTTAATTTAGGCACTTTCTCATGTGACATGATGTACACACACAATCCTGTAGACATAGCATGCTTTGCTGCATTTCTTCCTCATGATTTCTGGTGCTACTGAACAATCTTGGTTCAGGGGTGCGCGCACAAAGTTAGGTCCGTAAGCATGAGAGAGCACACAGTGCTTGAACAGGTGATTTTGAGGATATGCTCTTGATTTAAAATTTTTCATGAAGCCACATGGAAAAGGGGTGCAAGATTAGCATAGCCAACCCAAGGAAGTCTCTGTTTATCTGTCTACAGTCTCATCATACTTGAATTTATACCATTTTCTGCTTTATAAATACATGTGTCCATTTCATTTTCATTTTATTCTATGTACATACAAATAACGGATGATGCTTTTGATATAGTCTGCTAAGAACTATCTGTAAAGAAAGGGGCTGGTATTTTTAATCCATCATATGAATTTCTATTGGTGGATCTTACATTTTGTTGTGAAAAAGTTGATTAGTGTATATTGTATCATTGCCTTCTTTTTATTCTTGGCTTAAACTTATATTATTGTGTGCATTGTAGAATCTGTATATCAAGTTGGCGAATTTGAATGGTTCAACGGTTGACCCTCCAACTATTGTTGAGACCTCCATTTTTCTTGAAGTTGGGAATCACCAGCCATCTGTACCAAGGATGAAGCAGTTGGCACAAACAATTACTAATTCATCTTCAGGAAACCTGGGTCTGAACCATACCGTATTTGGCAGGGTGAAGCAGATAAGCCTTTCATCCTATCTTAGACATTCTTTACATAGTGGGGGTGGTTCTGAAGCACCTAGTCCAGCACCCATGCACCATCATGGTCACCATCACCATCATCACCATCACCATGGTCATGAAGACAGCAGGCATTCGGCTCCGGCTCAGGCTCCAGTACATTACCCTGTGCATGAACCCAGATATGGAGCTCCACCTCCATCTCGGTGTCCATATGGTACTGACAAGCCAAAGAATAAAGCTCATGTAATGCCAGCTCCTGAGCCTACAGCCAATGGCCATCATTTTGCTTCACCAGTTGCTTTGCCACCTCACTCACTGTCACCACGGAATCCCAATGTGCACAGTAGGTCCCCTATTCCATCCCCTCCAGTTCTTCCAGAACCACCTTTGCCCACTGTTTCTTTTGCTCATGCTCATCCTCCAAGTGAACATACATCAAGAAGAGATCCTGCTGGATTGTCGGCTCTGGCCCCTGCACCTCATTCATGTAAGTTTTTTGCCTTATCTTTTTAAGATTCTCTCAACTGCTAATGAGTGTTATCTCTAAGAGGAATTCATTCGTTCACTTTAGAATGTCGGAAAAGAATACTATAGGATTCTTGTAGTACTAATTATATCCAGCTGGACAATTTGGACTTCTGTTTTTTACTTGCTGTTTCTGCTCCTGAGGCTAATACGGTAAATCCATTTTGTTTGATCTTTACGCTGATTGCTGAATCGAGGTTGCATTTCTGTGAAGTCCAGATCAGGCTTGAGTTTGCCTATCTGCTGATGGTACCTCAGCTAAATGGAGTTTTAGTTCAGCTCACAATTGATTGAGATAAACATTCATAGGTTTTCTTCTGGGCAAACAAGTACCTCCATCTTAGAAAGCATAGTTTTGTAATCCTTGGGATCTAGTTGCCTTGGATGGCAAAATATTTGTGAGCCAAGAGAAAAGCTCAGTTACGCTAGATAGTGTACGCCAAGGTGAAAAGTCAAAATCAAACAAGTTATTTTGGATGGGATAAGAAATTTCCTCTGCTAAATTTTATATAGTTGTGTTTTAACATTAATCGTTACCATGTCTTTTATGGCTCGTGCTCATATTTCAGTTTATGTTTGATTTATATCTGTATCTGATTTATGCAATCATTTGAGAACAGTGCATTACTCAATTGCATCATGAATTTACAAGACAGTAAAAACGCTATTGATGAATCTATGCTTATAGAGTTATAATCTGTTTACCTCATGTATCAGCTTTCATTTTTTTTACCATTCATTCTGCTGTTGCAGCAAACGCTACTCGGAGCCTGTGGCGTTCCATTCATTGGGCCAACATTGTGCCTCTTGTGTGTATTCTAATGAGCCTACTATGACGAAGAAACACGCGGCTAGACAGATGTAAATTAGGGAGGTTTCAAGAGGTGATGAGGCACCACCTGTTCTTCTTGTCTGGCTGTAGCCGGCCGATCAGCTCCCGGGCCGGCGGGCAAGCACAATACAGCGTCCCACACGGCCTCGGCGTGCTGTTATACTTCTTGTTAGTGCATGTAAATATGGATGGGGGGGGGGGGGGGTGGGGTATAAGGCAAATGGGCAGCAGCTGTGCCTAGGTCAAAGCCACGGTGGTGGCAGGCCCTTGTCTAGCACTTGTTGCCCGGGTTTTGCTATGTACTACTGCTGTTGAGAAGAGGATCTTCAAGTGTAAAAACCACTTCTTTTTTCTTTTTAATATGAGAGGGGCATAGAATCTACCTCCAATTTTCAGAGGTCTATTTTGGGACTATGCTCTGGAGCATCTGTCTTGTTGAACCTATAGTTTCTCATAATTTTTTGAGGGCTTTCCTCTTGAACCAGTTTGGTGGATTGTTTCTGATCAGTTTGCTTCTGAACCGTACAAGGTTACTGGCCGAGCGTTTGCAATCTCATTTTGGGTTGAAACGCAATCCAGCGCGATGACGAATTTCATGGAATTTTGTTAAAATTCGTTTGAAATTCAACATAGATCCAGCAGTTTGGAAGAGCTCAGAACTCCATGTGATAAAATTCAATAAATTTGTGAACCAAGCCTAGCCCACCACATTGAGGCTGGGGACTGCAGTTGATGTATTAGGGCACTCACACTCAGGGAGGGTTTACAAAACCGCGCGATTATCGCGGTTACCGTAACCTTTTCGGTTTTTAAAACCACGGCATGTCTCGAGGTTACCACGCAGTAAGAGGAACCCTGCTCACAGTGCGTCCTGGAAAATGCTACGCCTGGGCTTCCAATTGGGCTAAAGAACCATATTAGCTACATACTTCACAATGCATGTTGCTTGGAGTGGGTCCCACCTATCTCTCTCCACTCAGTTTTATCTCTCCCTCTCTCTCCTCTCACACTTTCCCCACCATTCTCTCTCCCGGGCGAACGAAGCGAAGCGGCGGCACGCCGAGCTCCACGCCTCCACCTCTCCTCGTCGAGGCCGAAGGCGGCGATGTCATTGTTCGATAGCGTCGGCGGAGCGGCGGCGGCACCGAGCTCTACGCCTCCATCTCTCCTCGTCGGGGCTGGAGGCGGCGACGCGACCCATGCTGCGGGCGGAGCTCCCCGTCCGGCCTCCTCCCTTGGTGGCAGGCATGGATCGGGGGGCTGCGCGGCCAGCGAGCTTCGGCTGGCGCAGATCGGGGAGGACGACGGCATCGGTGCTTCTCCCCTCCCTCCCCCTTCTTCACCTCTTCTCTTGTGGGCCCAAAAGCTGTAATTCTGACGATTCTTGGCGAGGCTCCGAACTATGTCTAAGTGGAGGGGAATCTTTAAGCTGGCTGCATGAGGGAGAATGATACCTAGGTGTACTGTGAATGGCCTTAGGGCACTTGTGCTCGAACACCTGTCGTTAGTGAGGACTGAGGAATCAGTTGTCGGTTTGTATCAGTATCAGAATTTACAATCCTTCGCGTGAAATTTCGTGATTTCAAGGTGATTCAAAATCAGATTTCGAGAAATTCAAATTCGCAACAGTAAATCCGGTCAAAACTATTCTCGGCTTACGACATCTCGCAGTCTCGCTTATGAATCCATGATATGAGATGTGATACATTAGCATTCTAGCACGGCGGTGGCATTGAACGGCCGCTTCTGCCGAAGAGAGAGAGATTCCCACCTCCCTCAGTCCCTCCCGCTGCCCGTACCAGTACGATTACGACCAAAGTTAAACTGCTGTCGAGTTGTACTCGCACTAACTGATCCACAGCGCGCACCGGTCTCCGCCTTCAATGCATCATCTTCGCCTCTCGACTCAATCTGCCACTCCCCCAACCATATTTACATCCCCACTCTTTAATCACCACCCTCCTCTCGCTCTCTCTCGCCATCGATCGATCGTCTCAACCTCAACCACATTATTGCAAATAATTAACCACATTGCCAATCTGCATTTGCGAAATGTCGCGTGCTCGCGTCACGAGCTGCTGAAATACCTCGCTTTCTCCTTCTCCAGCTCCGGTGATCATCGGCTGATCGCCATGCCGTCGTCTTACCTGATGAGCAGGAGGTTCTCCTACCGCAGGCTCAAGAAGCTTCCAACGGCGGCGGTGGCGGCGCCGCCTGATGTGCCGCAGCAGCTGCAGGAGCAGTACTACGCGGCTATCACCGCCGCCGCCGCGGCCGCCGCGCAGCATGGCGGCGGCGGCGGCATTGGCAGGAGGAGGAGGAGGAGGATGAGGCCGAGGCTGAGGATCTCGAGGCTGGCGAGGGTGCTGCGGAGGAAGGCGGCGGCGGTGGGCGGCGCGGTGAGGGCGTCGGTGGCGAAGGTGGTGCGGCGGCTCAGGGAAGGGAGCCCCTACGTCGGGGACCTCTTCGCCGGGAACTACATGTTCATGCAGGTCACCCCGTCGCCGACCATGGCCGCCGCCGCCGGCCTGGCCAAGAACGGCGTCGTGCCGTACTACCACCACGGCATCATCGGCGGCAAGAACAGCAAGCTCGGCACGACGTGTTCACCTAGCGTGATGTACAAAGTTAAGTTCAATTAGTTTGATTTGACACGTACTACTACTTAATTGGATATCATCTCGTCATTATCTTTTCCTTCTTTTTTTTTTTACGATTGTCAAAGTGTCAAAATAATTAGTTACTCGAGTAAAGTAAAGTTAATTACTTCTGTATGACAGGATGATTCTGTAGGACATTGCTTTGATCTGCTGCAGAAGCAGAATTATTCGATTTTGCTGCGAGTTTGTGGGGGCTCATACGTATACGTCATTGGTTGTAAATTTTGTTCGATTTGAGCACAGACATCGCAATTAGTTTGTGTTGTGCGTGGACTGGACGGTGGACCATTGCCAGATGGGCACAATCGTGCGCATCGGCAGAGGCGGCGAGACAGCGCGATGCGAGTTGCGAGGGAGAGGAGGGCACGGGCCACACGGCGGAGTTGCGCGAGGAGGGGCGCTCCCTCGCGCCGCCGGGAGACGCGGCGGAGGACATCGGTCGCCGTCGCCGGCGAACACCAGGATTCGATAGAGATCGAAAAGTAGTAGGTGATTTTCGCAGGAGCGGAATATTGGTAAGGGTCAGACTTGCTGTGTTGCAACCCCTCGTTCCCAACACATTTCCCTCGTTTTTCACGCGCACGTTTTTTAAACTGCTAAATGGTGTACTACTTAAAAAAGTTTCTATATGAAAGTTGCTTAAAAAATCAAATTAATCCATTTTTGAAAAAAAAAACTAATACTTAATTAATTATGCGCTAATGAAACGCTCGGTTTTTCGTGTGGAGGGAATAGTTCACAATTCACATCGAGCTCATGCGAACACAGAGGACTTCTACCGCCAGTTTGACACAGCTTCAATAAAAAAAATGAAGTCCGGAGCTGAAGTCCACATTTTCTGGAGCTAAAGTCCAATCAAAACAATTTCAACTTCAATATAAAAATAAAAAATGAAGTGAGCTGACTAAAGTGCTCTAATAAAATAAATTAGAGAGGTAGAATTGGGTTTTAGTAACTCCATAACTACAATTCAAACCCAACTTTTGAAATTAAATTTTGAAATTAAATTTAGGAGTTTAGACCCTATCAAATGGGAAAGTCACACGCGATCAAACCATACAACTATGTCACTACCAGAGCAATCTAGGCCATCGGATCTCTTCCATTTCCCCTTCCAAACTTCGCCAGAGAGGAGATGACCTCCCCACCTTCGCCGCCATTTCTTGTGCAGACCCGCTGCTAGGAGGAGAGTGATTTGCAAGAAGATCGTTTGGCGGCGGGATGGCCACACGGCGTCGGTGACGGCGTCAATGGCAAAGAGCCCCCAAATCCCCTACTCCCTAGTCTAAAAAAACCTAATCCTAAATTCAAACACAGGATTGGTTTTTTTTTTGGGACGGAGGGAGTATGTTGACCTCTTTGGCGGCAACTACATATAGACGTTTGTGCAGGCTACGCCGTACGTCGCAGACCATGGCCAGCCTGGACAAGGGGGGCTTCGTGCCGTGCTACCAAGGGATCGGTAAGCATTATTACAAGTTTGTGGTACTCACCAATCACCAGACTGTTTTCTCGTACCAGGGTACTCCTTCCGTCGTCTCATGTTGTTTGGAAGTACAAGTTCCCAACACTTTTTTCTTGTTTTTCGCGCGCACGCTTTTCAAACTGTTAAACGGTGTGTTTTTTAAAAAGTTTCTATACGAAAGTTGCTTAAAAAATCATATTAATTCTTTTTTTAAAAAAAATAGCAAATATCTAATTAATCATGTGCTAATGGACCGTGCCGTTTTCCGTGCGGCCAGCTTGTGTTGGGAACACAAGGTTCCGAACACAGCCAAGTCGTTTTAGGTTTACACTAAGCTAATTTTTTTTAGTTTATTCAAGTTTATAAAAATATATAGTACTAACATCTGTAACATCAAATTCATAATTGAATATTTTGATAGTATATTTGTGTTGAAAATGTTGCTTTATATATATATATATATTTGGTTAAATTTGAGGAAGGTTGATTTAGGACAAACCCATAATGTAATACTACGGAACAGAAGGAGTGATGTTTAATTCAAGCAGATAGCTTGAGATTGAATTCCTGATGATGCACTACGGAGTTATTCAAACTCTTTCACTGTTTCACATGCCCAAACTGAGTAGAGACTAATCAGTGAGTTTGGTGCAGAATGCAGATGTGCCTAATGAGCCGTGCATGATAACCGTACAGCTACTCAGCTAACGCGTCCTACTCAGATAACCCGTTGTGCACACGCAATTAAGTACACTGTCACAATCATAGCCAAAGCTGGCAAACATACACAGCACGATCCATTTTGATGTTGGTAGCGGCGAGCCAGAAAGGAGAAACTCTTTTTCAAAAGTTCAGATGAGTTACTGCAAAACAATTGGCCGTTTCGCGGCTGTGGCGCCTCTTACCGGTTAATTCAGGGTAAGCACAAGCAATTGCAGCGTAGTCCTGTCGCTGCTGGTTGCACATGAGAAAGGACAAAATTGTTGTTGGGACAAGCTAGAAAGAATACCCTGTGTTGGGGCCCATGGCATGGCCATCTGGAGTTGTTGCACGATGGAGTGCAGGGGGTCCATTGCTTTTATCCTGTTCTGAATTTCTGATCTGCATCTGCTGCTCAGACATCAAACTCTCGCCCCACCAAATTTCATATTCTGAATCTTGTCAAATGATACTCCACGTTAGTACTGACAAATTATTACTACTCCACTTAATATGAATCACTGACAAGCATTTTCCAAAAGCATCAGATTTCCATGGGGGGATTTAGACATGATAAGTCAATAATGGTTCAGATAATAGTTTTGGGTGAGTCCGGAATCGTGTCAATGAGAAACCGGAATCACTGTCAGGAGAAAATGTCCACAATTGAATGAATCTGACTTCTGATGTACAAGGGTCTGATGAAACAAATTCTACCACTAGGCTGCAGTAAATTACACGACGTAACAGTGTTCAAGAATGTGAATTGAACAAAGAAGATACACGAAGCTCCCAATGCTGCGGCCAGAGCAAACAATTCAACGATCAATTATCTGACAAATATGTACCAGGAACCTGATCGCGTGGTCATCATAGTTTTCGTCAAAAGGGTTTACTGTGCTTGGAGTTGTCTCTCTTGAGTTGTACTTTGAGTTTTTTACTGCCTAATTGGAAACCGTTCATCACACCAATGGCTGCCTGTGCGGAAGCAGGAGAATCGTAGCTTACAAAACCTGCACCCGTTAGAAAACAATTAGCAGACTATAAGCAAAATGTGTGTGTGTGTGTGTGTGTGTGTGTGTGAGAGAGAGAGAGAGAGAGAGAGAGAGAGATTACCAAAGCATTTGCTGGAACCCGTTGCTTTGTCTACAAAAACCTTAGCACTTAGTACTCTACCGAACCTCTGGAATGCATTGGAAAGGTCTTGGTCCCCATAATCTTGTGGGATATGATAGATAAATAGATTAGCTCCTGGAGGACCTGTAAGCATGAAGACTAGTCTTTAAAACATGATGGACTTCAAAATGACAGCTACACTGATAGTAAACATATATTCAGAAAGAGAGAGTATTAGTTAGCACAATCAGGTAGCTAACCATTCTTCAATATCTTTGTTAGATTTTTGTTCATCTCCTGAACTCTGATGTCCTTATATGCATTTGGATTCCTCATGTACAGAAGCACATTATAAACATTTCAGGATAACGTACATGGTATAGAATCAAAAGCCACATGATTTTTCTCGGAAAATGTATTGCTAAGGTTGCAGCTTTTTCCAGATAACATCTTGGAAGAAAACGGTGTTTTCTCCAGCACAAAGGCTAAAGGTGTAAGTAGAATGTGTCTAACCTTCTATTTGGCCACCAGGATTGCTACTGGGACTAGAAGATGCAGGAGAATTTGCATTTACAATTGGAACTTTAATCGAACTGAACGAATTCCCGAAAGGACGATTATTCATGAGACCACCAGGGTAGGATCCAGCATACTGCACACCAGGTACAGGTGGATAAGGGCTGCTTAACTGCATTGCGTTGAATGATCTAGGAACTGAATTAGGGGACAGTTCAGGGTTGACTCCTCGTATAGAGTTTCCTTGATTAACAGGTTGAACCATGTTTGGGAATGTGGCTTGATTCTGCATAGGAGATAAGGGGTACTGCATAAGTCCGTATGTCCCTGGTGGCTGCAAAAGAAAACAAAATCAGACTTATTCCAAGCAAAATATGTGTGCATTAAAAAAAAATCTTAAGCACTCTCTTGAAGCTCAATGCTAGGGTTTGAAGTACCGACAAAATTTTTCTTCTGTGAGAAAGTACCAACAATATAATGAAGAACGAAGATGAAGAATTTTAGCAGTTTGGACAAATGCCCCTTTTACACTGAATATGGCAAGAGCCACCATTTATGTGTGTAGCAGTACCAAATAGTGGCCATGAAACAACGTGAACCAAATTATTATTGGGGCATATCCTGATAATGTTTTCAGGTGACAAATAATATTTTTAAAGAAGAATATGACTAATATAGTTCTTGTGCTAAGTATACGACAATGTATGATGTAAAAAAAAATATTAAGAGAAAAGCACAAGTCACCTGATAGCCAAATCCATTATATTGAGGCATATATCCCATCTGTAAAGCCCCAAATAATGAAGATTGTTGCATAGGACTCGCGCTAGGCATATTAGATGATTGCAATTGAGCCTTTTGTGCTTTTCGGGCCTGCCTTTCCTTTTCTGTATCGGCCCATTTGACAACCAACGGCACACTAGAGCCCTAACAAATAAATCAGAAGAGATTATAATATATTCATGAAAAATAACGTGGGGTTTGAGAAGGGATGTAACTGGATAATATAATGCAGACACAAGGTATCAAATAAATGCAATAGCAGAGAGTGTCTTTAGCTTTGACTGTTTATGTGTATCAGACTCATGACTAAGTAGAGCTATGGATCATGTTCATGTGTGAATTGCAGTACATTTCAATAACCACTAAGAATTTTTCTGCTATTCTAACTAATTTCTGGCAAACCTCTATTTTGTGCTTCCCATTTAGAGCCTCAATAGCTGCCACTGCTTGCTCCTTTGTTTCATATTTAAGGAATGCACAGCCAGCTGCAATAACACAGTTAATTTAACAAAAACATTAGGTATTGTAAAGTTCCAGAGTCAACCAGTGCTTCTAGCTCTAAATGGTTAGGAAAATAGGTTATTCACCAGATCTCACCTTTACT